GCAGATTAGGGTTTTGGCATAATTACGGTTTTGACCTCGAGGTTAGGGTTTTGCAAAAATTACAATTATGCCCTTTGCAAATTTCGTAATTTCCGTTTATGTTTTGTCAATATATTTACAGTTTTACTCTCGAGTCTAATTTTGCTAAATTACAGTTCTGCCCTTAGTGAATTTCTTAATTTCAGTTTATATCCTATCATATATTTACAATTTTATTTAAATTGAGAATTTTAAGTTATATTTTTAATTATAAAATTAATAAATATGATTTATTATAATTATGATTGAATTTAATCATGATTATATTTTGATTATTTGATTGGATTTAATTTTTGATTAAAAAAAAAACTATAAATTATGATTTACTTTATAGTTTTCTCATATTAATTATTGATTATACATGTGATAAATAAAATCCAATTATTATTCTTGGATATTTATTTAGTTATTCATATGTATATATTTGAAATTGTGAAATAATGTTTACCTTTCACATGAAGGTAATGAAAACATGATTTATATGTTATCATGATTATCATATGAGTTTTCTTTGCTGATTAAAGTTCAATAATTATTATGGTTATTCTATTATTGAACTGCTTAGCATTAATGTTCAATAATTATTATGGTTGTTATTCTATTATTGAACTGTTTAGCATAAATTAAAGAAATTTGATGAATATTATTTTATAATTTTGGATTGTATTTTATATTTTTGTATTGGTCCTGTAGCTACCAAAGTGACCTGGACTGATAATTTATGAAATACATTATCAATTTAGTTCTAAATGATATTAAATAAAATAATATTCATAATGGCAGCATGAATCAGGATAAAAGAATTTAATGAATATTATTTGTAATTTATCTTCCTAAGTTTTATCTGACCGGTAGCTACCAAAATAACCTGGGATGATAGGTTTATGGGATATGAATTACAATAAAGTTCATGTCATTCATGGGATATTTTAGATTGTATTTTATCTTTTTGTATTGGTCCTGTAGCCACCAAAGTGACCTGGACTAATAATCTATAAAATATATTATGGAATTCATCCTAAATGACATTAAATAAAATAATATTCACGATGGCACATATAATTATGAGATTTTGATAATCTCAAAGGAGAATCTATTTTAAATAATTATGTGATGGGGTAGGATGATACTGTTTTTGAGTGATTTTGATAGTCCTCCATAAGTGAGTCCTCCATAAGTGATTTTGAGTGAACACTAGATATGTCAATATTTCACCCAAAGGTGAAATATTGATGATATCAATAGTTCATCATATTTTGGAAACTCAAAGCATTAATGTTATATTATTATCGTGGCACTTTCTTTATTGTGTTTCTGTAAATGTCCTTATACTTTCTGAAATAAATGGTTTGAGCATATACAAGTTGTATTGAGTGAGTGAGATCTTGATCAGATTAATAGAACAGAACATAATTACTGAAAGTTCTGTGAAATAAATAATTGAGGTGACTGATCAAGAAATGCATGAAATACTCAATTTTATGATATTTAGACTTCAGTACAGTTTACAACTTGCTAATAAGAATATCTAAGGATCAATTTAAATTATCTGATAAGTCATTAGTTGAAATCTTAAAATGATAATATTTGAGATTATATCTTCAAAATAAATGATAAAAGCTGTAAGCTCAAGACTCATAATATTTTGAATACTACTCAAGGAGTAGGTAACACTAAAATAAGGAAGCGTAATTCCATCTGATAATTCCATCTGAGTTTATAATTATCATATAAACTCATAAAAGAATATATTCACAATAAAGTGTTACTTTTGTAGCAAATAAAATTATGTGAAGAAGAAATATACTATAAGATTTGATTTGAAATAAAAAAAGGTATAATTATAACCTTTGTATGGTTCAAATCAAATATTACGGATATTATTGATGGATTAATTTGATGCTTCATCATATGTTATCAATAATAGATATTGGGATAAAACCAAAAGAGAATGAGTTATTTATCAATGTAGGAATTATCTTAAAGTGAAAGCGATATTAGTTTGTATTTATCGCTTATATCTAAAGATGATTCAATTTGATAAATCTTAAGAATCCATGTTATGTTCTTATAATTCTGGGAATTTAAGTTCTTTACCTAGAATTGTTATAATATTATTTCCCTTTTGGTGGTTGTAAATTTATTGTGATTCAATAAAATTAACCTTTGAATTCTGTATAATAGTCTATGCAAAATTAATATGAATCATAAGTTTACAATGATCATATAATTAAATATTGAAGTGAAATTTAGTTTTATAAACTCCTTGAGGTTATGTTTATGACTATATGCTTTTGTCTCATTAAAGAGAGACATTTTATCATCATATAAATAATCTGTTGAGATATGATTATATATATATAATTCATGTAAAGTCTATGACCATTTACACTCTTGAAGTGTATATAAATGAAGTTGATAGACAATTAGATAGAAAAGTCAATATCATCATATTTGAAAAGGGTGATAAATTTTATGGTATTTATGATGAACCCAATTCTTTTGCTAGATTCTTAGAAAAATAAGGTATATGATTTACCTGATGTGTTACAGCAGAATATGATTGCTGAAAGATGTCATCGTACCTTATAGATATGGTTAGGAGCATGATAGATTATTCTTTTGTACTCAAATCAATGTGAGAGGAAGCTCCATGGATAACTATGTATATCTTGAATGGTGTTCCTAGTAAGTAAATTATATGACTTCTTTTAAGTTATGAAATAATAGGAAACATGACTTAAGATATTTACATATTTGAGATTGTCCTATGGAGATAAGGATCTTCAACTCACATAAAAGAAAATTAGATTTAATAATTATTTCTGAATATTTTATTATCTATTCTGAAAAGTTTAAAAGGGGTACATATCTTATTGCTCTAATCATAGTACGAGGACAATTAAATCTGGTAACATAAGATTCCTATAAAATAGCAAATCAATGGGAGTAAAAATCTCGAAATTTAATTTTGATATAAAGGAGATATAAGTTAATACTCCTTTATTATTCGAGAGATTGTTGTTACTCAAATCATTAAATGATTTGATAAAAGTGAACAACAAAATAACATTACTAAACTCTCACATTATATTGATATCATTATTAATGGTCTTGTAGAATAATCATAATTGACAACTTTGAGAATATCTCAAAGGGGAAAGAATTATGTCATTTATGGTTATTATGTTGCATATCTACAAGAATTATATTATGATATAGGAATCAGAATGGATCCCTTATTGTTGTCATGGGTCATGAAAAGTAATGATTCTGAAAAATAATATGATACAATAAAATAAGAGTTAAAATCAATAACTAGAACGGTGTCTGATAAATTTATCGAATTGTCCAATAATTGTAAAAGAGTCTATTATATAAATGTGGCTTAAAGGACAATGTCGAACGATATAATGGTTAGACTTGTGGTTAAAAGTTTTACTCATAAAGAATGTATCGACCATAACGAGATTTTTAATGAACTCGTTAAGAATCATCATGACATTAGTGATTCATTATGAGTTTGAGTTATATCATAATGATATGAAAATATTTTTTTTTTAAAAAGATCTAGCTTTATATGGGTTACTCTACATGATTTACTCTAAAAGAAAATGAAAGAAATATAAAGTTTGGTATGTAAATTCAGGAATCCATTTATGATCTTAAACAAGCTTCAAGGTAATGATATATAAAGGTTCTTGATATCATTATTTCATATTTAAAGTAAATACTATTAATTAGTATTTATATCAGTGGGAGCAAGTTTATTATATTGGTCTTATATATGGATAATATTTTGTCTTACCAATAGTGATCTTGATTTATTATACTAAATCAAGAATTTGTCACTAAGAGTTTTAATATGGTTGATATGAATGAGACATCTTATATTATTAACATTGAGTAATTCAATGACAGACCTCAATGATTATGAAGATTGTCTTAGAAAGGATATATCAATCGAGTCTTGAAATGATTTTAATATACAGCTTTGTTCAGTAAATCATAAAAGCAAAATTTTAGTCAATAGTAAATGCTTGAAAATGACTTGAAAAGAATCAGATAATGAAGATATTCTTTGTATATGCGCAGTTGGAAGTCTATGCTCAAACCTGTGTTAGAAAAGATATCAGTTTTTACAATTAAAATATTGGATATATATTGGAGTTACCCAGAAGTAAAAACATTAAAAGACTACAGAGAAAGTAATAAGATATCCGGAAGGGACAAATAATTATATGCTCACATGTATGAAATTATATCAGCTTAAAATAATGGTATTTTTAGATGTTGATTATATAAATTGCTTCGATAATAGGAAGTCCATATTATGGTTAATATCTATGTAATTAGAGAGATAATTTATTATTATTAATAATAGAAGTTGATTTTGTGGCATGCTTTGAGGCCACTAATCAAATTTTTGACTACAAAATTTTTATCTCAGGACTTGGTGTAGTCAGACTCAATTACCAAGTCGTTGAAGATATTTTATAACATTGCAGTAGTTTTCTTCTCTAAGAATGACAAGTACTATTGCATCTATATGCATTATGGTATAAAGTACTTGATGGTTAGAGAAGATGAGTCCAGAAACATCTAATGTCAATTAATTACTTGAGTTCCACTGTATTGATTACTGATCCATTCACTTAGGACTTACAGTCTAAAGTATTTTGAATGAACATATTCTTATGATTGGGTTTGTGAGCAACCCATAAAGGATATGGTGATGCATGTTTGAGTGGATACTATAATTGACATTCTTACTTACGTACTTAAAATTATTTGTTTCTGCTATCCTGTTCACAATTATATATGTACATATTATGGTTGAATGTGATGACAGGATTGTCTTGACAAGACAAATTATAGGGGTCATTTTGGACTGCATTAGGAAAGGCTAATAGTATTGTGGTACATAGAAGGAAGTGTGACACTGATGGCATACAACCGCTATGACTCGTATTGTTAGTCAAACTTAATGTAGTATTATTATTATTATTGGACTTATTGGTCTATTTTCTAAAATTCACGCGCGTGTATATAGTTTTTCAAAAAAAAATTTCAGAATCCAATTGAGTCAAATTGTTTTTAAATAAATTTTGTTTATTTATTTTTGATTTTTAAGTCTTTTTGTATCTTACCAATTATTGGGCCAAGTGGGAGAATGTTAGATTATGTGGCCCTATTTAATTAGGTAAGATATATTATAGATATTATTGGATTCTGATTATGGTTATTGGCCAATAGAAAAGAAGTCCATATTAAAGTAGGATTCTTTAGGAGATAACCTTGATGGAAGGAACTCTCCTAATAACTTATCCTAGACCCTCTGCTCTCGCCTATAAATAGACAGGACCTCTAGGGGCTAAAGATATCATCTGTACGTATCTGATAGATAGGACCTCTAAGGGTCAAGTGCGCATCTGAGTAGCATCTCAGCAATTGAGAGATTAAGGTTTTTCTCTCAATCTCCCTCTCTCTTAATCTCCTAATCCATCAATCTAGGTGGTCCTGTGAAAAGATAGGAAGAGAGGAGAAGGATATAGTTCTTTTTGCAGATCATTGCAGATTGATATTTCAGATCCGACGATGGAGCGCTTGTAGATCAGATAAGATTTATTTTCTGAATAACAAGACAAAGGTACGTATCGTAATATTGTTAGATCCAATTTATTTGATTTCAATCTTGGCATAAAAGTTTTTCCGCATTATAGATGGCATGATTTTATATTTTATGCTAACACAAAGCACTCCCCTCCACTTCCCCGGCCGTTGTTCCCAAGGACCATCCAACCTCGCCGCCCGTCCCTGTCGCCGGGCACCGCCCGTTCCCCATCTCCGAAACTGCCGTGCCACCGTCCTCGCCGCCTCCGTCCTACGGCTTCCACAACCTTGAGCGTCGCACCGTCGTCCTCGCTGATGGCAGTGTCCGGTCCTACTTCGCCCTCCCGCCTGGCCCGCCAATCGTCCTTGCTGATAAGTTACAGTTTGGCCTTCCGGGGTTTGGTTTCGGGCCGGTGCATGATCCCGCGCTGGGGTTCGATAAGCACTTCCCGCCAAATTCTGACGGGCGGTTCAGCCCGGACTTCCGCCAGCCAACTCCCTATGGCCGCGGCCCTGGGCTTGATGGCCCAAGGCGTCCCCTGGAAGGTGGGCCTTCATATCTAAAGAGGAAGTACAGCGAAGAAGATGAATTCTTGTGGCACCGGCCGCATGTCATGCAACATGGGAACCCTAATGGGATCCCTATTGGCCCTTCAAGATCTGGTGGAGACCGGAGGAACTACTTGGGTGGCAACAGCTGTCCTTTTAGAAGGGACGATCATGATGAGCTAAGGTTGTCAAAGCAAGCAAAGTTGGCTGGAGAAATTTATGAGGAAATGCCCCAAAAGAAATTTCGACCTGATGATCTGCCTCCTGTGTTTCTGGATTTGGATATGCAGGCTTTGAAGAGGGCCTTTCTTAGGTTGTCAAAGACGATAAATGAGAATTCATCCCAAAGAAAGAAATATTTGGAGGATGGAAAAAATGGACCTTTGCAGTGTGTTGTTTGTGGCAGGTTTGGTTACGCCTAATTTTTTGTACCTTTTATGACCTCTTTTTTGTATGACCATGCTTAATTTTCTTTCCTTATTGATTGAGAATATGTTTTCTTTTATTGATACTTCTTTTTATCATTTGCAATCTGGTAACAATCTTCAATGTGATCGGAATTTGGGTCTTTGAAAGTGTGGGTATCACAGTCTCATGGCCTTCTACTTTCACTATATATGTTGGAATGAATGCTTGTGCTTTAGTGCTTGCTACTCATGCATTTTAGCTAGAGGTGGTAGTCTTACCTTAAACCTTCAGATCATTATGATCTGAATTTTGCAAGGTATTTGTTGCATTCACTGCTCAGTGCTCAGTTTCAGATCAAAAGTTTGTCCTATTAGCAGCTTGGGTTTTGTTCAAACACACCTTTCTTTGATATAAAGAAGGCATTAGAAAAACAAAAAACTATAATTTATGGTGAAGCTGCAGAGCCTGAATTAGAATTGAAAGACATAAATGTATCTTGTGTTCTCTTTGTATTCTTTTTCTAGTATCCTTGTGATCTTGTGAAGGAGAATTTCTTTCATCTTCCATTTTGCTCTTCTTTATTGTTTGCATTGCAAAATTAAATGTAAAACAGATGTATACCAAGAATCAAGGGCCTCATTTCTCCTTTGGTTGCAAGTTTTTTCTTACTGTTTACATGGACTCATTGTGGCTGTGATACATTAAAGTGGTACTGCATGTGACAACAACTGGAAGCCTACTTTTATTGCTTCGCTTAAGGCTTCCACTTCCATTGTAATAAAGCTGACTAAAAGCCCTTTACTGACAAAGCCCTATGAGTTGTCAATTTCTTTGTTAACTAGGACAGTGATCAGTGCCCCATGTTCCTGCTTTCTTTCAGGGGAAAGAAGAATCAAACACCAGGCTTGAGGCGTATTTACAGTCTTTTAGTTGTAGTTAATTTTAATAGGGTTTGAGCAATAGGGGAAAGTAGAATGGAACACCTGCTTTCTAAGTCATTGTTGCTTTCTTTGTTTTGGTTTTACCTATCTCTTGGTTGCATTTATAATTTTGTTACTTGGATTTTGAAAACAATATCAGCTGGTTCTTTTTAGTTATTGTTCTTGCACATGCTTCTTGATTATTTCTATCATTCCTTTGTTCTTGGCTGCCCCCAGTTCCATTTTTCATAAGCTTTCGACACTATTATTGAAATATTGCATTGGTTATTTCAACAACTATTGCTTGTTATTATTGCTATTATTATTTGTATTTGGTTGCACATTATAATAATATATTTTTTACTCATTTATTTACTTCTTGTTGGGAAGAAACCGGAATAATTCTTTCCCTCTTTGTGTATTAAAATAGGTTTCTCATCAAAATACCAACTTGATATCCAAATAAAAATATCAACCAACACAACATAAACAATAGAGCAAAAATCAATCACACAATGAGACCAAATCTTTTAACGTGGAAAACCCAATGTGGGAAAAACCACGGGATCGTAGTCCACCTAAAACTTCCACTATCAATAATAATGATAACAGGTTTACAGTAGGTATTCTCTAGAATAACTAGAGGATCAGAATAACATCAAGAACATAGATCTTGACTCAACAATAGCATATCTTGATCATGTAGGATGAATCTCCTCAAAAGAGAATTCTAGGTCTCACAGAGTGGATATCGTAGGAAAGTATCTTAGAGAGGGTAAACTGCAGATCAACACCGTTAGGATTGTAGAGTTTGCTGCAAGGATTCTCTACATAAAATTTTTTCTCTCTCTATTTCTCTCTCCTCTTTCCTCTACACGCTGCACGCTGCAATCTGATCTCTTTTTCTCACCTTCTCTCTCCTCTTTTTAATTTCTTTCATTTGCTGATTTGGGCTCAATAGACCCAATTGTCCAAGCCCACATATGGGCTGGACCCAACAATTCTGTTGAAAAATTGGAAAGCTTAAAAGAGAGCTAAGTAAGTCTTTTGCCATGAAAGACTTGGGTTCGGTGAAACAAATACTTGGCATGAAAATTCTTCGTGATAGGAAGAAAAGGAAGATTTGGCTATCTCAGGAGACTTACGTTGAAAAGGTTCTTGAAAGATTCAACATGAGTAAAGCTAAAGCAGTTTGTTCCCCACTTGCAGGTCATTTCAAGCTTAATTCAAAACAATGTCCTACAAGTGAGAAAGAAAAAGAAGAAATGTCCAGAGTGCCTTACTCATCTGCAGTAGGCAGTTTGATGTATGCTATGGTTTGTACTAGGCTAGATATAGCTCATGCAGTTGGAGTTGTCAGCCGATTTCTCTCTAATCCTGGAAAGGAACATTGGGCAGTAGTGAAATGGATATTAAGATATCTAAAAGGTACTTTCAGGTTGTGTTTATGTTTTGGCAGTGATGAACCTGTGTTAGAAGGTTACACAGATGCAGATATAGCAGGTGATACTGATTCCAGGAAGTCCACTTCAGGATTCTTGATGACATTTGCAGGAGGAGCAATCTCTTGGCAGTCTAAGTTACAAAAATGTGTTGCTCTATCAACCACAGAAGCAGAATACATAGCAATTACTGAAGCCTGCAAGGAAGCTTTATGGATGAAAAAGTTTCTACAGGAATTGGGCTTGAAACAGGAAGGATATACTGTTTACTGTGACAGTCAGACGCCATTCACCTCTCCAAGAATTCAACATACCATTCTAGATCCAAGCATATTGATATGAGATATCATTGGATTCGTGATGTGCTTGAGTTGAAAGAATTACAGTTGGAAAAAGTACATACCAACGATAATGGTTCAGATATGTTGACAAAGTCTTTGCCTAAAGAGAAGCTTGAAGCATGTAGGCGAAGAGCGGGCTTGGTACAACCCACCATATGAGCTGGAGGGGGAGAATTGTTGGGTCCGGCCCATATGTGGGTTTGGACAAATTTAGGCTATGAGCCAAAATCAAACAAATCAGCAAATGAAAGAAATTAAAAAGAGGAGAGAGAGGTGAGAAAAAAGAGATCAGATTGCAGCATGCAGCGTGCGGCGTGCAGAGGAAAGAGGAGAGAGAAATAGAGAAAGAAAGATTAGGTTTATGAGTTTTCTGCTTGACGATCGGTGGCCAAACGTTGTCAGTTTCGGCCCAAATTTTATGTGGAGAATCATTGCAGCAAACTCTACAATCCTAATGGTATTGATCTACAGTTTACCCTCTCTAAGGTACTTTCCTACGATATCCACTCTGTGAGACCTAAAATTCTCTTTTGAGGAGATCCATCGTACATGATGAAGATATGCTATTGTTGAGCCAAGATCTATGTTCTTGATGTTATTCTGATCCTCTAGTTATTCTAGAGAAGACCTACTGTAAACCTGTTATCATTATTATTGATAGTGGAAGTTTGAGGTGGACTACGGTCTCGTGGTTTTTCCCATATTGGGTTTTCCACGTTAAAAGATTTGGTCTCACTGTGTGATTGATTATTTGCTCTATTGTTTATGCTGTGCTGGTTGATATTTACATTTGGATATCAAGTTGGTATTTTGACGAGGAACCTATTTTGAGACATAAAGAGGGAAAGAATTATTCCGCTTTAACAGGTTTTTCCCAACAAGTGGTATCAGAGCAACAGGTTGGTTGGTGCTAGTTTTTCTTGTGTGATTGAAATGGAGTCAGATGGTATGTTTAAATTGAACTCATCAAATTATTCTACTTGGAGGCGTCTGATGGAAGATTTGCTATATTACAAAGATTTGTATAAGCCTATCAAGGTTAACGATAAACCTTCTACTTTGGACGATGAAGAATGAGAAGTTCAACATAGAAAAGCTATTGCCTATATTAGAAGATGGATGGATATAAACTTGCATGAGCATATTTCAGATGAAATCAGAGCTGATGTTGTTTGGCAAAGGTTAGAAAACCTCTTTGCGAAAAAGACAGTGGGAAATAGAATTTCTCTCCTTAGAAGGCTTGTAAATTTGAAGTATAAAGATGATGGTAACATTGTTGAGCACATAAGCCTATTTCAGAGTCTTGCAAACAAGTTGGTTGCTATGAAAATGAATATAGATGATGAGATGCAGGGATTGTTACTTCTCAGCTCTTTACCAGAAAGTTGGGAAACGTATGTGGTGACTATTTGTAACTCCACACCAGAGGGAACTCTAACTATTGATATGGTTAAAGACAGTTTGCTAAATGAAGATGCCAGAAGGAAAGAACAGGGTGAATCTTCTTTTGGGGCATTTGTTACTGAAAAACAAGAAAGGCGTGGAAGAAGTCATAGTAGAAATCCACATGGTTATAGAGGAAGATCTAAGTCTAGAAGAGATATCAAATGTTTTCACTGTAATAGGTCAGGTCACATGAAGAAAGAGTGTAGGTTTTGGAAGCGAGAACAGAATGAAATGAAGAAAAATGAGAAAGAGACCAATACAATTGCTGCTGAAGGTAATATCACTATTGGGTAATTGACTCTGGTGCTTCATTTCATGTCACTTCTCATGGTGATTTCTTTAGATCTTACACTGCTGGTGATTTTGGTAATGTCAGAATGGGAAACAACGGTACATCTAAGATTGTGGGTATTGGAGATATTTGCTTGGAGACCAGTATTTGGAGCAAATTGATACTTAAAGATGTAAGGCATGTTCCAGATATTCGTCTTAACTTGATATCTACAGGTAGACTTGATGATGAGGGCTTTGCACATTATTTTGGTGAAAGTAAATGGAAACTCACTAAATGTTCTCTAATTGTGGCAAAAGGAAAGAAGATTAACTCTTTTTATGTCATGAAAACTAAGCTACATAAAGGAGAGATTAATGCAATTCGAAAAAGTGAAAGTATAGATCTTTGGCATAAGAGGCTTCGACATATCAGTGAGAGAGGACTTCAAATTCTTGCTAGAAAGCAGTTCTTACCAGAGTTGCAAGGTACATCTCTTAAATCTTGTGATCATTACTTAGCTGGAAAAACATATAGAGTTGCATTTCAGACATATCCATCATCTAGAAGATCAGATG